TGATCTCAAGCAATGGGGACTTCACAGATCCTTGTCCGACCACTGCCCAATAATAGTAAAAAATGAGGTACATAATTGGGGCCCAAAACCTTTTAGATTTTTTAATGCATGGCTACAAACACCTGGATTCAAAGATCTATTTGCAGCAAAGTGGAAAGAGCATGATATTAAAGGATGGGGTGGGTTCATTTTAAAGGAGAAAATGAAGAGAACAAAGGAATTTCTGCGAGAGTGGTCAAAGGCATCCCTCCAAGAAGTGGATAGGAAGATTGATGAAGCCAGGGAGATGATAAATAGGATAGATGGCAAAGGGGATAATGACAGCTTAACAGATGAAGATATTCTACTTAGAAAATGCCAACACACTGAGTTGTTAAAGAACATGCAAATGAAAGAAGAGATGGCTCAGCAGAGAGCACGAAAAATGTGGTTGAAAACAAGAGACGCTAACACCAGATACTTCCATAATTCTATTAAGGGGAGATGGCGCAGGAATGAAATTAATGAAATATCCATAGGAGGCAAGGTAGTGAAGCAAGTGGAAGATATTAAAGAAGGTATCATGAAGTACTATGCAAGCTTGTTTATTGATGAAGGATGGAAGAGGCCAACTTTAGAGGGGGTGAACTTCAAGTCAATATCAGAGGCAGACAGATGTATGCTCACACAACCGTTCACTGAAGATGAAGTGAAATTGGCAGTCTGGAATTGTGACAGCTCCAAAGCACCAAGCCCAGATGGGTTTAGCTTCGGCTTGTTAAAGAATGAATGGGAGGTGATAAAAACAGATGTCATGAAGTTCCTCACAGATTTCCATAAAAATGGCAGATTGGTAAGGGGATCAAATGCCTCATTTCTCGTCTTAATACCAAAGACAGAAAATCCCCAAGGCATAGAGGAGTATAGACTTATCTCTCTAATTGGATGCACTTACAACATTCTGGCCAAATTGTTAGCAAATAGACTCAGCAAGGTACTGTCCACAATCATCGAAGAGACACAATCAGCATTTATTGAGGGAAGACAACTACTTGATGGAGTGATGGTCGCGAATGAAGCAATTGAGGGGATGAGGGGGGAAAAATCTAAGGGCTTTATCTTCAAAATTGACTTTGAAAAAGCATATGACAATGTCAGTTGATCTTTTCTTGATTACATGATGGAGAGAATGGGCTTCGATAACATCTGGAGAGGATGGATATCGGAATGCTTAAAAACTAGCATGGTGTCTGTTCTAATTAATGGAAGCGCCACCAAAGAGTTTGCCATGTCAAGGGGGCTCAGGCAAGAAGACCCGCTAGCCCCGTTCCTATTTTTGATAGTGGCAGAAGCTATAAATGGACTAACTTCAGTAGCCATTGCAAAAGGCTTCCTTAAGGGAATAAGAGTCGAAGATGGAGAGCTAAGGATCAGCCACTTGCAATTCGCAGATGACACATTATTTATGGGTGAAGCAACAGAAAACAATATATGGACAGTTAAATGTATCATGAGAGCATTTGAAATGGTGTCCGGCTTGAAGGTAAATTATGGGAAGAGCTATTTAATAGGAGTTAACACTGAAGAAGAATAGATCACAAGTATGGCATGGATGCTGAAATGCAAGATTGACTCTTTTCCCTGCAAATATCTGGGAGTGCCACTGGGGGCAAACCCGAGGAGGATAGATACTTGGAAATCCCTAATCGAGAAGTGCAGAAAAAAACTATCATTATGGAAAAATCGATTCCTATCTTTTGGGGGAAGAATCACCCTCATAAACGCTGTGCTATCAAGTCTACTAGTGTTTCTGATGTCATTCCACCTGCTCCCCAAAAAGGTAATCTATGAACTTGATAAAATTAGAAGGAATTTCTTATGGGGGGGCATAGGGAAGGGTAGAAAGATTGCATGGGTGTCTTGGGATAGAGTTTGCTGTACAAAAAAAGAGGGAGGTTTAAGGGTAAAAAACTTGAGATTGTTTAATATGACCTTGCTTGGAAAATGGTGGGCAAGGATGATTGGAGGAGAGAAGGGTTTATGGAGTAGGGTACTAAAAGAAAAATATGGATGGGATGAAGGGAATTGGCTAGAAAGGATGAGAGAAGAGTGAGCTATAGGATCATCTTGGTGGAAAGACATCTGCAAATTAAACACAAATTTAGGAATTAAAGAAGGATGGTTGGAATCAAATTTCAAGTTGAATTTGGGGGATGGGAAGTCCATTAAATTCTAGAAAGATGTGTGGGTGAGGGGGGAGTCATTGGCTAACGCTTTTCCTAGACTTTTTTCATTAGCCATGGGAAAAAACTGCAGCATACAAGATATGGGCCAATGGACAGAAGGGTGCTTGAGCTGGAGATTACAGTGGAGAAGAACACTTTGAGCTTGGGAAGAGGACTCACTACAAAAATTGCTCGAGGCCATAAAGGACATAAAGCTGGTGCAAAATGCTGAGGACACATGGAGCTGGAAACTAGTAGATGGGGGTAAATACATTACAAGGTCGGCATATGAGTGGCTTGCTAACAAGGATGAAAGCAAAAAGCTCGATTATAAAAAGTTGTGGGGTGAACAGGTACCATCAAAAGTGATTGCTTTTTCATGGCAAATGCTTTTAAATAGAATCCCTACAAAGGTCAACTTGGCAACACGTGGAATTTTACATGATACTCAAAATATCATGTGTTATTGGTGCAATTCATGCCATGAACATACAGATCACCTATTTCTATCTTGCAAAGTTTCTTACAAGCTATGGACTAGATGTATAAATTGGTGGGGGCTATGTTATGTCCTCAGAAACACATGTATGCAAGTCTTCCACCAACACAGATGGCTAAAGGGCCCAAAAAATCTGAAAAAGGGATGGAACATGATGTGGTATGCCATAGTGTGGTCAACGTGGTTGAGTAGAAATGAAACCGCCTTCCAAAAAAAGGAACTCAATGAGGATAAGTTGTTCGAACGCGTACAAACTTGCTTATTTCACTGGGTTAGAACTTTATTGAATCTAGAACACATTTCTTTTATAGATTGGATTTCTGATCCAGTGAGATGTTTAATTACTAAGAAATAGAGGACAGGTGAGAAGATAGTTCCCAATTCTTTGACTGGGGTGGCTTATGTTCTTTTGCTTTTAGACCCCAAAGCTAGTATTTTGATGATCTTATAGATGTATATGGGTTGAGTACCCCTTGTACTCATTTAATATAACTCTTTTGCTATTTAAAAAAAAAAAGAACAAAAAAGAGAGAACATCCAAGACAAAATGAAGAAATAGTCCACGGGACTATTGTATCATCCTAGAAACAACCGAATAACTCTTTTGAATCAATATAAAAGATAACCAACCTATAGTCCAGGCTAGAAGCAAGTTCCATCATTTTTTTCAAGGCTACATTGTGCTTTGATGCTAAAAATAAAAAATAAAAAAATTAAATCCTCAATTTGGTTCTTGAACTATTATATGGACCATCGATTTGATTCCTAAATAAAAAAAATCTCTGATTTAGTCTCTACTGTTTACCAATTTACTCTAAGTTGATCATTCCGTACAAAAATCAATTGACATGTTTTGTTATTAATAGAACATTTGGCCTTTAAGTTATTATTTTTTGTCCTTAAATCAAGGTTTTTAAAATCGGACCGGTCATTGAACCGTTTTCGGGTTTGGTTTTTGATTTGACCGATTCAACCGGTTGAACGGTGAACCGATCGGTCCAAATAACAAGGGAAATCTGATGAGAAGGGCAGGTAATTTTGTAATTTTATTAAAATTAAGGGTTAAAATCAGTATAAGAAAGGAATGATGAGGGTGAAATTGGAAAAAATAGAAAGAAAATTGCATGAGAAATTGAACCGATGATTTTTTCGGTTCTATTGGTTCCACCAATTTCACCGGTTTTGACTGATTTTGACCGATTTTGACCTCAAATGATTTTTTTGTATAAATCGAACCATTTTTATTACCGGGTATTGGTTCGACCGATTCAATCGGTCGGTCCAATCCGGTTTTAAAAACCTTGCCTTAAATAACGGACATGTCTATTGTTTTTATATAGAATGGTCAATTTTGGGTAAATTGATAAACAATATGAATCAAATTGTGGATTTGTATAATAGTTCATGGATCAAATTGGGGGTTTTAACCAAAAAAAAAAAAGAGCATTGTGCAGGTTGACAAAAAAAAAGCGTTTCGTATTTTATTTTTTTGTAAAAACTAAGAAGGTCAGAAAGATCTAGCTAGGTCACCAGTTGATCAGTTTTGGACCTTAGGCTCCAGGTTTGCTAGTTTTCTTTTTTCTTGGGCCAAATCACCCGGCTTGCTAGTCCAATCTAAAAACTTATCTTTATCAACAAAGCCCATATTTGATTGAAGGCCAGAAAGCCTAAATCTCTAGTAAGTAAATACATTTCATTTTGGGTCAGGCTGCCACTTGCTTCAAGCCTTGAATCCAGCTTAACTAATAAGTTACATTGCCCAAACGCGCTATTTGATGTATGAAAAGTACACAATTGTCCTCAAATCGGCCTAATGTGGTTCTCAATAGTGTGCATTATTTTCCTTCTCTCGATATATTCTAATATTATATTGTTTTTTAAATTCAGAATACCTTCCTTCATCTTACTCTATCTTTTTAATTAAAAAAAGGTTCTATTTTTTTGCATATTCTTGACAAATGAACAAATTGAGTTGATATAAAGTCATTTTAAATAATAAATTAAACGAGTTAAATACAATGAATTCAAGAGCTATAAAAGGTCATCTATAACTCCACTAATTCATGTTTTTGTGAGTTGTGACCCCACTTATAAGTCATAGGTCAAATGAATTTATTGATTAAGAATTTTTACTTAAATTCATTTCTAAATAGATGAGTTAATTAAGTTGATTAAATATGTTAGATTAATTTTTATTATATTTATCTTTAATTGTGGTGTGATTTTTTTTAATGAAAATGTTAAGTGTGGTATGACTTAATTTATTACTTTTACTAAAAGAATCATTACTAAGATATGGCATTGAATTATTCATTTTTATTAACAAGAAACTAAATAATTAAAGGTACGAAATTGAAGGGTATACATATCTTGTTAAAGACTCGGCTTGTTCTTATCCATGTGCGTATATATATGGCCCCCTTTCATTTACTGCCTTGGCTTGCCTAAAGAGATAATTGCTTTTGACTGGACGATGTTTCTGTCATTTTAGACGACTCTTCTCTTCACGTTGCTGATTGGTTTTTGTCACTGTCTCAGGAATATGTTCCGTTTCATACCTTTATGTTATGGTACTAAGGTAGTTTGCCCATACCTTGAGCCCTCAGTCCCCTCATCCTGCCAAACGGCTTCTTCCAATCTGCATTTCAGCTGAAATGGGTGGGCAATGCCCTGGTTTGGAAATCTCCATGTAAATTTACCAAGAATCAATGCACTGATTCTCTTTAACCTCAGCTCTCCATAATTAACGTATTAAAAATTAATATACTTTAACAAAAAGGAAAAAATAAAAGCGGTTCGGTGTCCAGCTAATTGCGGCTGCGCATGCCCATCATTGGCGTGCACCTTTACACGTGGAATGTGGCTTTAAGTCGACAGATCTTTGGGGTTGGCCTTTCCTTCCTCAATATTGTTTCCTTGCGGTTTCAGATAAGTACACTAAGAAAGATGATGATCCTAATCTTCCAATCACAGCAAGCAATCATTAATTTCCCAGCAAGTTCAATGGCTGCATTTCCACAAAGCAGTTTTTAGACTTCAATCCACTCAACAATGAGGTTGAATACTTTATCTGTATCTTTGCGATATATATATATATATAT